AAAAAAGAAATGTCATGCCGTTCTTCTCTCCTACAGATCTGAGTGCCGATCGTGAGCACGGTGCTCCCAGCTGGCCGCTTGCTGCAAGCTACCTGATTGCAAAATGCGATTAGAAAGCGCCGGGAGTCTAGTTTACAGGCTTGATACATTGATTTAAGAGCCGAAAGTCACGGAAAAGCTTGGACACAACTCGTGCCGTCGAGGTTATGGCCAGAAGCTAGAGTCTGAACAGCTCCAAATCCCTAACATCTGCATAACCAAAATCGCAAGCACATAATCAACAGCTCTCCGTTTTCTGCTCTTACTCCTGCTCTTACCCATGCACTTACAGTGTTACTTTGCGATTACTATGCCGATTTCGATTACTATACTCGACTGTGTTCCATCAAAAGCAAAACCGGAAAACACTTTGGACCTTCTGGGAGGCGGCCCCTGCAACGGATACCTCGCGGCTTGCTGGGAAGAGCGGGGTTCAGGCCATGCGGGCAAGGCTTGACGGCTTGGTTCATGAGAGGGGAAAGAGAGAGAGGGAGAGAGGCAGATAGACAAAGAGGGAGACAGAGATGGAGACAGCGAGAGGGAGAGAGAGTGTGTGTTTGTCTGTGCTACAGAAGATGTGCTGGCATCAGGAGGAGTAAGCAATGTTTCGCATCTGCCAGCGAGTGTGTGCAAGTTGACAAGCCATTGACTGAAGCTTTCTGGTTCACTGCGACACAGAAACGTTACGTAAATAGCTTCAATGACCAGTTTAGAAGCATGCCCCATTGCGTTGATATCCAGAGCGCTCTCCACTTACCGGCATTTTTGTCACGCTTCTAAGAGGCCCTCGTTGTGATGAATGGGAGACGCGTGGCTTGTGGACTTATTGCTTTACTGTGCGGTTCAAACTTGTCAACACGGCCTTGTCGAATCACCCGTGGAAAGGGGTGCCCTCTTACTGTTTCTGCACCTTTTCCCTATGCATTTTGCAGACCTCACCCAGGTTGATGAGGATCATCAGAAATGTCATGCCGACACCGTGATCCAGCCGGGGCAGGGATCACGGCATGTGTAAGGCGGTCACAACCATGAGGCTGAGCAGCAGGCACAGGCACGCAGAACTTCCGAAAATGTAAATTTGAGGCACCGAGAGCTCGCAACCGGAAGATTTAAACTTTCCTTTTCGAATCAGGTGCCGAATGCTCCAAGGCTTCGACGGGGTCAGCTTTCCGCAGCAAGGTGCCGTGGACCACGCGGTACGGCACGGCCTGCGGAGGCGTGGAGGTATTCAGCATGCATATCCAGGCAAGGCCGTCGGCAAGCGTCGGATTGACAGGCGACATCTGTCTGTTGTCTCAAATGCCTTTAACTGCTTTGAGGTTTGGAGGTTCAGGCAAAATGGGAAGTGGCGGGGTCTCCCACTTAGCACCAAACTTTAAGCCCGAAGCCTGCATCCAGAGCCCTCTTCCTCGCTTAGCCCCAGCCTGTGTTTCCAAGCTGGCTCTGCGTCTCCCGCGAAGCACCAACCTCCTCAAATAAATGGTATAATAAGAGTAGGTGGCGTATGGGCGTATATTGATGAAGGTATTTCTCAGCTTGGGATTGGTGGGATTTGGGTCTTCGGCAGTCGCAATCCGCCATGCCAGGCAAGGACTGCGACCCCAGTCCGACCGCCTTCGAGTGATTTGCGGTTTAAAGTTCGAGATTTGAACTTAACCGTTCCTGAGGCATCGGGAGGAGGGTGGGGAAGGAATTCTGGGGATTGTATACTCAGGGTCGATCAGGAATAATGAATAATGTCCTTTTTGCGTCCGGTCTGCAACGCCTCTACCAGGAAACTCCAAAACCCTCAACCCCAAACCGCCGAGCTGGGCATAGGGATATCATGGGCAGTGCTTCTTGGAGATCACAGAGTGAATCAGGCACTGTCGATACAGCATACACAGCACCCACTGACTTCCAGGTGGTAACTTAACTATACATCGTAGCAGTCTTGTAAAGTATTTGGTTTTGCGACTACTTGCCGTTCTTGCGGCATGCTGAAGCTTCAAGACTGGGCAGCCTGTGAGATGTTGCTCGACAGCCGAACCACGCTACCCGCACTCGAACTTCCGCTGAAGCAACTCCCGATTTCCTAAGACAAGCTCGACACATTGCAACGCAAAATCAACCAAAGCTTGAAGCCCCACGAGCAAAGCCCGAAACTCAATCTAAATACATCTAAACACCATGTACATCCTTAATTCAGATGCAGCTATTCGGGCAACTCTCCATCCTTTCGGCACTGCTCCACACATTCCACGACCCTAAAGGTATCTCGTAGTTTGTATGCCTCAAATCCGCCTCCATAGCGATACTAGTCCCTTGTAGGCCATAAGATGGTTGCAGTACCATATGCCCCAAAACCCTGTTCTGGTTCACGATCGGAAAAGACCCTCTGGGAGCTCGAGTTTAGAATCACCCTTATAACATCTGACACTTGGCCCAGAACGCATGCTGAAAAGCAGAGGCTCGACTATCCTGAGCCGGTCCTTTCAAAGTATTACAAATAAGCTCCCATGTAACGCTGGTTTGGCTACGAAGTTTGTGCCTAGGATCCTGACCACAAAGTTGGTAAACCAAGAAAAGTGCTGGATTGGAGACTTTGAGTAGCGCGGTTGTCTCCGGATATGGGATTTCTTAACTTGAAGCTGAATCGCGACTCAGAGTACCCTTGTGCCTAAAGCTTAAACCGTATTACTCAGCTTGTGCAAACATCGTTAGTAGATGTGTTCTGGGTCCCCCACCTCGAAGCAGCAGTTTAACTTGTACATCCTCAACCAAATAAACACCCCGAATAACACAAACCCTAAGCTGGAGCTTTGCGGGCTCTGACCGAAGGAATCCGAATCTGGGGTCTTGAACATAAGGATCTGCCCCTCAGTTTTTCTCAAGCTTACCCGACTTTGCGGGCTTACTTTGGGGATCCTACTCGCCCTGAAACTGCAGCAATCGGACCCCGGAGGCCGAAAAATCTGTCCGACTATGAAATGGGTAGCGCCGAACAGATGATGATTTTGTTTTGGGGTTCCGACACGCGCACTCGCAGAGGCAGGTACGGATCCAGGCAACAAGTGCCACCGAAGCGAGCATGCGGTAACCTCAAACCTAAAAGAAAGAATCAGAGGCAACAACCCAAACCATAGAAGGATTTAGGTCTTGGGGGTTTGGGGCCGTTCAAAGTACCATGATTTACCTTCCTCGTTCTAGCATTCTACTTGTAGAAAGATTACATAACTATTATGTATATCCTATATCTTATGTCTGGCTAGGAAAAAGTAACCCTGTCCCAGTCCTGCTCGAGATCTTCTTGGTGTCGCAGTGAAGGCCCTTCGGATGCAAATTCCGAAAGAGAAGTGTGGCTCGTTTCGTTCTCCAGGGCGTGCTCAACTCGTCATGCCAAGCTTTGTGTAAAACTTACAACTGAGACGAGATGGTAATAATCGCGGCCCCATCTTCGTACACGTAGAACGACATGGAACCACAAAGTGCGAGCTAGGCGGTTACATTGTAGATTGATGGCACCGAGCCATCAAACATGAAGCAAATGAGTTCTAAATAGTTGAAGTCTGGTCTCCGGGTCACAAGTGTGAAGAAGACTGATTTTGAGCGTGAGCGCTGCCAAATACTCGTAGAAAGTAGAGGAACAAATCTAGACGTACACGGAGTGAAATTTATGTCACAACAGCAACGCTGCAACAGTTGCCGCACAAAGAGACTTGTATGAAGATGAAGAGACACCGTCACCAAAAAAGACTGTACTCCTGCTGCTACACTTGGAGCCTTGTTGGGAAACGACATCTAATTCGTAACTCTCTCCAGCCACCAAGGCAAACGCATCCGGGTGCACTTTCCTACTGTGCCTGAGCAGCGGCGGACACTTTTTAAATGCCAGTTCCTTCTGCAGCTGGCTACAGGTTACTCACGTCTCTATCGTCGCAGCAGAAAGAAAAATGGCAGCATGCGTTCTGCAAATCGGTGGTCTCTTGGCTCTTGACTGAAGTTTCTCCTGCACGAGCATGTCAGATAGTCTGATTGTTGGCCGGCAGCTACAGAACATTCCTGCAACTCTAAGAGCCTGACAAGTTCTCACTTGATTCCTCTGAAGGCTGCGTAAGCCCTCGAGCCCTCGAGCTCAAGGTATGTAAGGTCAGACGCGGCACTGTAACTCCACCAAACTACTATGTAATGTGACCCTGGCAATGCTGGATATCTCTGGACTCAACCAGCAATGCGGTTCTCTCACTACTACTACTACTACTACTACTACTACTACTACTACTACTACTACTACTACTACTACTACTACTACTACTACTACTACTACTACTCCTAGTACTACTACCGCTACTATTGCTACTACCTACTACTACCTATACACTACCTACGACTACCTCCACAGTCAGGTTGCCATAAAGCCACCAGGTCGGTCTACTAACCTTTAGGCTAGGAGCTTGCCAGAACAGCAGTGCCGACAGGCAGGGATTCCTGAAGTTGACACATGCCCAACTTCGGGTTCCAACATGGATCTTCCTCTTCTAGAAGATGCCATGCCCACGGGCCAAGGGCAACAAGGAAGTCTTCACATCAACAAACACCAGATGAGCTGTGGGATTCAAACTTTGTGCTGGGTGGTGATGATGCTTTCGAATAGCGCTGCCCGATGAAATCCCTACCCCCTCTGCTCAGCGAGAGTATCGTGTTGCCAGCGACGATCTATACATGATCGTTCTGGCCTGGCACAAGGCCAGGACTTGACTTCTCTGCGAGTCATCGGACATGCCAAAGCTGACCGTACGTTGGAAAACACACTGTGCCGAACTTCAACATTGAATCCAAAAGTCTCTTTGGTTCCCGAACCTGCCAAAATATGCCAAGTAGCCAAACGACAGCTTTTCAGCTGAAGTCCTGGCGCAAACGGCTCCTAGCCTGCTAATGTACGGTCCCTTAGGGTTTAGGGCATCATGAACAGAGCTGCTCGTTCATTCGGCAGGCCAATGAAATGTCCGGATGTCCTTGCATCGGTTGATCCAGGTTTCATATCGTTTCCACTGCTCGGCCGAAGCGTAAACAAGCACAGCTGTCAGGAGCGCAATGCAGCGCGGGGTCCGCGGGGTTGTCGATTGGATCATTCTAGTTGGGAATGCTGACCCTCAGTCTTCAAACCAACAGAAGGCAAAGTGCTGGCTTTGGGGGTCTTCTGCTTGATGTTCGCTTTATTTTGAGCGTCCTGCAACACTACAGCATCGCAGGCTATTCTGCAGACATGGGCTTGAAGGTCTCCCACGGGTTAAAACTGACAAACGAAGCCTCCCACAGATCTGGGAAGATATTGGGGGTCTAAAGGCTCGGTATCGAACCCTACAAACCTTCCGTGAGCTGGATTCGGCCTCAGAAGGCTCAAGGTTTCGGGGTCTAGAGCAGTTCGGAATTTTGGAAACTTGCAACGTGTCGCGTCGTCAGACTGGGCCGTCTGGTAGGTGTACCGGGTTTGGGAGTCAGGAAAGCCTTAATCTCAAGCCCTCAACTAGGTGTCCTGCAGCAGCTTGCAGATGTCCTGGTTTTGCGAGACGTTGGCCACGTCCAGGGCTGAATTGCTGTCCTGGTATATGACAGCAGCCCCAACCCGAAGCAATGCAGTCCTGGCTCGCCCAGGATACGACCAGGGAAATGTTTCGCACAGACCAAACTCTGACAAACTTCTCCCAAGCAGGCACCTTTGCTGCTGTCTACAATGGGTGGGACTGCAGGCTCCGTCTCTGTGATGTATATCTCAAGAAGACCTCAAAAGCGTTGCCAAGCCCTGCTTCTGCATACCCGAGTCCTCGACTCCCCTACTTCAAAGGATCATGAGACTCAGTAACTATAGGGTTATCATTCGGGCAACTATACTTATAACCCGTTATATCCCGGTGATTACTTACGAAGTCCCATGATCCTCCAAGTCCAAGTAAACCCACATCCCCGCAGCCCGAACGCACACCTTGTTGAGCATGGTGGGGTCTGCGCGTGCAGCACACAGTGCCGCACAAATCTCCAGACTGCCAACCTGGGTTAAAGCAGCTACCCTAAGACTCCATGTGCCCATATAGTAGGTACTTGGGCCTTAAAGGGTCCCTATATAGGTACTTTAAGGCCTAAGTACCTACTATATGGGTACATGGAGCCTTTGGGCTAGAGACTGCAGGCTCAGTGTTCAGTACCCAGTTGAACTTCTGATTGAGGTTGATTAAGGCTATCTGTTCAGAAGCAGTAAGATGAGATGCTGCTTGAATGGGAAGCAAGCCAGAACAACTACTGCAACTTCTGCAAGCAGTAAACGGATTTGGCCAGCCGATGTGCAACGAGATATGACTCTTACGCCAGGCATACCTTGTGTCCGGGGCCGTTATTTCGGATACCACAATCCCAAGCTTACTCAATCCTTTCCAGTCCGGATGCACGCGCGGCCATGTGCAGGGCGGTCTCGCCCCACGGATCCTTAAACCAATCAGCAATGTGTCAGCCGAGATAAGTGGCTCGGGTTGTCAACAATGCTTTTCGCAGGGCAAGTTGTGACGGCTAGAGCAGAACATTTGGCGGCACCATGCCTTCTGTCGAAATACCGGGACACATGATGAAGCATCTGGGAAGACATTGTCACAAGACAGCCAAGGCATGTTAAGTGACCTGTAGTATCTAGTCTACCGGTGGACTCCGTTGTTGGCACGTGCTAGTTACTAGCATATGAGGCGTACTGTTGGCCTCGGTGTCTCTTCCCCCTTGCTGGAGAGAAGTTGTGAACTTCAGACGGCAACACAGCTGAATATCTGCTACATTGCAGGATCTGTTTACGGTTAGGGTTTGGGGTCCTTGTAGTAAGGATCCTACTATTTAGGGTCATATATTAAAGTTCCCCATGAAAAGATAGCTCCTAAAACGGGGCACCTGCCGCAAGAAACCGCTCTACATTGACATGCAGGTCGATGCGGGAGTCGCCTAGGATCAGGGTCATATGCTTGACTGCTGGTAACCATGCAGCATAAAAGCGGCTTGAAGGAGTCTCCGGTAGAACAAGCAGAATGTACTCATGCACGCCTACACACATGCAGACATACAAAAGTATGTACATGTATACAATACATGTACACGTGCGCCAATGTGCATAACTATATGTACTACGTAAGGCCATGTAGGACTTCTCATCTTTCAGAGCATCATCAGCGGCCCGACTAATTGAGGACCTTCGAGGTCTGCGTTTTGTGTCGCCGCTGGCACACGCAGGAATTGCTGCCACGAGGCGCAGCGGTTGACTTCGGCACCGCGACGCAAAAGGGCCAGGACCTGGCCCAAAGACGACCTCCGTCGGAGAGGTTTTGCAGCTTCAGGGTCCAGTTAAGCCACCTTCGACGAGGATTCCGCTGTAGTTCATTGATATGTCCCGGAATACTTCGGATCTGCAAGACATCCCAGGGGTTCTGCGTGCAAGCAGTGGCATCAGAAGCACGCCGAATCACCCGAATGAAAGACTTACTTCATGGGCTCTGAAGCTCTTGTGACGCAGGACTCTGTGTTGCAAAAACCTGAACGCTTAACAACCCTGAACCCCCAACCTGAAAGTCATGACAAGGCACATGAGTGCAGCATCGTGTAACTCGGATGCACCGAAACCGCCCTCCTCCGCGATGACAATGCTCCGAGCTCTAGAGTTCTCTTTTTGGTTGAGGCATTATCAACCACTAAACACAAACTGCCGTACTTCTACGGGGTTCCTGTCGCATCTCCAACTATTCCCCCGTCATGCTCCAGCCCACTAAGTCTCTTCAAGGCTCCGCTAATCGAAACGGAAGCAGCAAGGACACTCCGCCGGACCGTGCTCACTTTCAGACGGACCTGGCCATAGCAGCCTCGCCAACTCTCAGGGCGAGATTCTTTATCTGTTGCGGACACACACAGTCTGACCAATCCTAAACCCTGACCCCTAGCCAGGCTATATCAAGACAGAAATTGCCAAAATGACAGCTGTCCTCGGAGGGTTGATAGAGATCCGAAAACTCCGTTGACTCATCGCTCAACATGTCCTTCCGGGACGTGCTCTTTCTAGAGCAGAGCTTCCAGGTATCCCAGTACTAGGATTTGAGCTCCCGACTACGATTCTCTGTGAATGGTTGTTGGTAACTCCCTATAGTCTCCATTGTAGTTCCTTTTGGGGTTACCTTATTTTTTGCCACTCGCCCAGCTGAAACGTGTCGCACCGCAGGGAACTCGTCAGAACTCGAAGACTAGAGAGAGAGACTCCAGGGACTGTACCTATGCTTCGAAAGGCCCAATAGGATCCTAGTTATATATACAATGCAGACTATACCTACAGCCCTATACAGTTGAGCCATTGAACCCTTACAGGTGGCGTGCAGGTCGCACAGCCCCAGCTCGGTGCGCAACTCGAGTCCATGCGAGTTGTAGCAGTAGAGTTCCGTGACTATCTATCTATGAATCCATGCGTCACTCTACCGATATATCGATATATCCGCGCAGCTAGCCAGCAGCTTCCCAAATGCCTACCTAAGCATGTGTATGTGCATTAAACAAATAAATGTATGTGTATGTGTATATATATATATACATATATTTAGAAATAAACGTGTGTGTGTGTATATATATATATATATATGTATGCATAAGGAAACGAAGAGACGTTGATGCTGCACGAACTGTTCGTCGACTACCCTGCCACAGGGACAACGACCCAAGTTGAAACTGCATCCGAGAGCCTCCATGACTGAGTACATGTGCGTGTATACATGACAAGTCTTAGAATCTTAGAAGCTGTACGTGCAAATCTGTAAATCTGTATATCTATACACATGCATATATATATATATACACATTTATGTACGTACGTACGTATGAGGGTATGCTTGCGTGTCTGTATGTGTGCGGTTTTGGCTGGAGCTATGTGCATCTGGAGCCGGGGATTCCCTTCTTCAGGATGTCAGAGATAGGCCCCAAGCTGCTTGGAAGCCAGAGGCTGAAAGCTAATGCAGAAGCTCTCTCTCGTAGTTATAGCATAGTAATGTACCACGAAGCCCCACTCTAGTTAATTAGAGGCCCCCCCCCCATTAGTGCGGCTATAGTGGCTGTCGGACCTTTCCTTCAGCACTCAAAAGTATGCCTAATCTGCCTGGCTGGACGCGTCGTACTGACTCAGCGGGTAGAAAGGCAGGTATCTTATGTGGGCGGAGTCATCCATTGTGCTACAGGTCGGAAGCCACGGTACCGCAATCCTGGTCACTAGATGGTCATCTAGGTACTCGGCACTGACGACCCCATCTTTCAAAGTAGCCCAGGGCGCTTCAGACCTCGTCCAGCTCCTGCTTGGGCATTAACTTCTCCTCAAGAAGGGGCGGCTTCATCAGAGACGGCTTATACCGAATCCTGCAGCTCACCGAAACCTCCCTGCCAGCTCTGCAACCTCTTGCTGAAAGCACGGTATGTCGGGGAGAGCAGCCTGACCCCATACACCGCAAGTGTTCCACTGCGAAGTAGAGCAGCGAGAAGGATCTGAACCCGAAACCCGTTTCCGTCACGCCGTCCTTGCGGGCCACAGTCTTCCTGCTCGACGGGTCGGGAAGCAAAGGCGGGTCTCTATATGATCTATGCCAGTTTTCTTCAGCCTGTCGAAATAAAGGTAATGGGCTTGAATGGTTGAAGGCCTCTCTCGGGCGCCAGATTTTGGCTGAACTGGTGTTAGAGTGCTCCGTAAGATTGCGCACGGGCAGCCAGGAACATTGGTCAGCTTGATGCAGCCAGGGACAGTGTTGTACATTGCTCGGCATGCCAGAAGTCAAGCTACAGCTGCGACATGCTCATTACCATTGTGAAAGCCCTTGCAGAGCTACTCCACGTTCGCTCACAGGCCTATCATGGCTCACATGATCAGAACCCTCATGATCTCAAGCACAAAGCTTAAACCTGCAGACATACGCTACAAGTAGTATTGTTTTTGACTCCGACGCCTGCAAAGCCTTGGGGACCTAAAGTCCTGCACTGCGTCTGACGAACCCTTCTACTTGGCCATGTTTTGCAGCTGAGCTCTGAGTGTCAGCCAGCGAGTGCGCCCACGCTCTGAAGTTTTAGTTGGCCCTAAACCCTCTACATGAACCCTGAACCTTCAGGCTCTTCTCGGGTGCATCAGGTCATGGGGAGTGTGCAAATACAGCTCAACAAGCGCGAGAGGTAAACTCCCGGAATGCATTGTATGTTCGTGGCTTGAAGCCGAGACCATGGCACGGGTTTAGGGTTTCTAGGGGGTTATAGGGCCTAGGGCTAGAGCACTTGTGATGAAAGCAAGAACCTCGGCCTGACTTACCCGACCAATGACATTTAAAACCGACTCCAACCCTGCATAATAATAAGCATGCTGCAGCCTCAAACGAGAAGTCGGCAAGATCGGCACAACGAACCTATGATTCTTGATACATCGCTACATGGTTTGCAACATCTATGATGCCCAAACGAAGGCCACAAGCGCACAGCTTTGCACTGCATCCTGCAAACAGACCTCCGGCCTCGTCTTTCGACTCGGACGGAGCAGATCGCACACCTGTCCGATAGCCTTACTTTTGGTCAGTAGGGAATGGAAGAATGGTAGCAATAGTAGTTATAATTGTACCCCATTCCTCCATTCCCTACCTAACCCTACGTAAGTAGCTGTGCCATGTGACATCCTGAACCCGCGAGGTCAAAAGACGAGGCAAGCATTCAGGAGCCGCCAGCATAATTTCACTGAAACTTCGGCTGGGCGTACCAGTCCGAGCTTTGAGCTGCGAGCGGGGAAAACCAGGACGGTCCCAAAGCGCAAAGACAACACCCCGAAGCCCTCAGCACGGGGAAACGCCGCCTCGGAGTGGCCGGAGATGGCTGCGATGAGGAAAGCGGTTTTCATATGCTTGTTCTGGACCTGTTGCGGAGTCGTGCAAGGCTTATTCTGGATAGCCGTGCTATAAAGTTGTTGTCGGGGAGGTGCTTTGGGGGCTTCCCATGTTGGCGAATTCAACAGATCGCTTTCCTCGACTACCTGGGCACATGCAGCGTTTCTTGTGCAAAACGACTCATCAAGAACAGAACAAGGCAAGCCTGCGCTACCGCCAATGTCATTTTCGAACGCAGTGCTCTCTTACATGTTCCAGAGAAGCCAAGCAAGCGCGGATGGCTCCATGGCATGATCCAAGGTGCTATTCTCTGATTGGTTCGTTTCTTGTCCTGTGCATCTTGGTGCCTCTGGGTCGGCGCCAGCCTCCAGAAGCATGGAGCAAATGTCCTGCACCATCAAATAAACACGGTGCTGCTACTTCTGCTAAGCATGTCGCAAAAAAACTGCGCATGCACATACACATATGCCCATGCATATCCCACACACACACACACATATATATATACATATATAACTATACACACATGTATATGCTCAACTTGCTTTCTGCATGAGCGCTGTGATACTCTGCATCCGAAGATTACAACTCATCCTTACCTACCTACATTGCTAATGCCCAGAGTCGTCGATCTCTCGATTTTTGCCTGTTGCCTGGCATACTACTCAGCCGAGGTCCTAGCCAACTTCTAGATCAGGATCGGTGAGGCCATCTCTATCCACACAAACCGAACTACTTCCAGAAGCCATTCAAGACTTACCGAGCCTGGCGGAACGTGAAAGGACGTGGGCAAAAGAGTACGACAGCTCAGCTGCAAGGGTGAGCGTAAAGGCTTCAATACTGACTGACACATCAACTTCATCTTAGGGGATGAGTACTCTAGCACAAAAAAAGTTTACCTTTTCAATTATGGTAGGATTGTACAAACCCCAAAAGGTTAAAGTTAAAGGTTACCTACTCAGCTACGAAGTAATCGTTGCCAAGGCACGACGCGGCCCACTCGTGCGGCCATGTGGAGAGCTGTCTCGTTGTAGTTGTCGACGGCATTGACATCAAGGCCTTCCGGGCTCAGGCCGGGGGTCTCTTTGGGCCTAATGTAGGGGCCTTAATTTAATAATTAGAATAGGGATTTTGGGGTTCCTTGTTAGAAGTATAGTATAATGTACCACCAAACCCTATTCTAATTCTCAAGACCACTACACTATATGCGGTAAGGCTTTCGGCTTGAAGTGCAAGGGTTCTATAAAGACTCAGTGCTACGCCAGCAACGCTACAGAAAACTCCAATATACCATCATCTGAGCCTTGATAACGGATCCTCAACCCTGAAGCCTCAATGTCACTTCAAGTTTCGAAAAAACAACCGGGCAAAACTGGGAAATTGCCTGTGCTGCAGAACCTCAATCATGGGGATCCTGAATAACATAGGGGCCTTCATAAGAAGCTGCCCCCCACCCTGTAGTAGTGACTATAAGGATTGTATTAGGGCCCGATTATATTCCTATTATACCACTATTACAGGGTGGGGGGCCCCTTCTGAGGCCTTCATAAACATGAGAGGGTTTTTGCGGTACATTCCAGTATAGCCATGCTGGGACTACAAGCTGAACTAGGTTGGCCCTTGAAAGCCTCTGAAAAATGCTCGTAAATAGGGTCCTATTAAGCCCAATAAGGGGAAGTATAAAATATCCCTAGTGAAAATTTGATCAAACATTCCGACCCCATCTTACACAATGGAGACCTGGATGTTGGCCGCAACATGGAGGCCTTAATGAATTACACTGGAATAGGGTTTTGGGGTATAGTTATTGTCAGTTATTGCAGTATCTGTATAAACGGGACCAGTAGGGGATACACTATTACTAACCATTGCGACCTCTGTGCTACACCCTGCAAACTGAAGCCTACATCTGCAACCCATAATCCTTGAAGATCAGAAGGACCCCCGCCTGAGTCGATAAGGGCTCCCAGCTCTCTGGCACAGCCGTTGTGTGCCGCCAAATGCAGCGCGGTGCAGCCAGAGATCTCCGGCACCTTCGGAGAGCAAGGATTTCATGAATTTATAAGGGCTCCCCCATGTAAAAAGGGTGGAGGGGGTTAGGGTTGAGGTTTAGGTTTTTGTTCGCACTACCCTTTTCCGTTCGCCGAGGTCCAGAAAGCGGTTTCCGCTGGGTGTATATCAAGCAGGGTTTGGGGACACAGGCCCCCTGAAACACGAAACCCCGAAACTTGGGGTTAGGATTTGCCTTAAACGACCGGTTATGATATCTCAAGGTAGCGGTTGAAGGATATCCCGGTTTGACCAGGCTCAATGTAGCTCTTGCTTTCAGGAGCGTCAATAATGGCATCCTTATATAGTCTCCTTTACGGTCAGGAGGTCTTTTAAGCAAAGGTCTACAACAATAGGCGTGGCATGGCTTCAATTTCGGTTTAGGTTTTAAGGGTTGCAGAAGCGGGTTTAAAGTATTGGGGTTTTAGGGCTTGCGTCTCTGTCAGCAGGGTTTAGGTCATTGAACTTTAGTCTTCGGGGCTCATGTTCAGTAGACTAGAAGCTAAAGTAAGATTTAGAGTATTGAGGTTTCAGGCGTTTCAGGGTTCGCAGAGGTCGAGAGAAGGCTTCGAACGGAATTGAAACTCAACATAACTTCCAAGTGCTCATTTTTGCAATCCAAAAATGAGGCGAACCAGCTTCCGTCAGCTGAGAATAACCTAAAAGTTGGAGGTTCATGCAATAGGAGTTCTTTCGCATCTTCACTTAAGACGGCTGCTGCAAAGGCTAGCCTTCTCTGCAGAAAAACCAAAGTTGGAATGCGAATGCTAGCCGTCCCGGGAGCAGCCCTGGACGCAAGAAGCTGCAACGGGACAAGCCTGGCTCTGGGCTTCATCTTCGCTGTCCTGACGGTGCGTCCGTTAGATGCTTCTTTTTTGCAGATGACATTTCCGTATCGCATGGATGCTTTAAGGTATAATTGTTTTGGCGTGCAGGGCAGTTGCTTACGACCCGAAGATCAGCTAAGCTGCAGTGGCCTCTTTAGCCTCCGGGGTGCTCCCTTGCGCAGCCTAACCCCTAAACCCTAAACCGTGGGCCGGGCCACCGGTTTATGCAGCAGCCTGGATCGAGCCTTTCAAATTCCGCGAAGCGGGCTTTGCATGACTCTTCCCTGCCTGGACCAACACATGCAAGACATCGGACATGCACGGCGCTGACACAGAACAACCTACTGTTGCAAAAAGTCTATGTGCAAACCGAACTGCTCTCCGTCATTGTGGAATCCGGTAAACTTATGAGAGAAAAAACGTTGGGAAAGCTGTGCTGCACACATCGGCCTCAGAACCCTGAAATCCAAGAGGCTCGAATCGAACCTAAACATCTGCCCCTGGGATGAAGGGTCCTCTGTGAAACATGGTCCTGGCCTCTAAAATCCTAAATTCCGAAAATAAACCGTAGACCCAAGGACAGAGAGCCAAACCCTGAGCCTCAACCAACGTTGTATTTGTATACATACGCCAAAAAAAGAGTGCGCACAATGAGAGCAATTGCCCGTCAATACTGATACGAAGACGAGTAATAAACCATATCAGCTGTTGTAAATGTTCTTGCTCGCACTTCTAGCAGTGTGATTCTTTTACTACTGTTGTAGTTGTCAATACTACTCGACTCACATGCGCAGCCCTAAACCCTAAACCGTCAAATACAGTCCCAAAGGGTCCAAGTATCATTATGGTATATACTTATAGGGTACTTTGCGGGTCTAAGTATATACCATAATGATACTTGGACCCTTTGGGAGTTGGAATTCATGAACACCTCTTGGATCGTTGAATCCTCGAGGGGCTCGGTGCGGGGCTTCGAGCGCCTCTTGGGCACCTCAGTCTTGTCCGAAGGAGTTTAGTGGGGATTTAGGGCTTAGGGTTTAGGGTTTATAAGATGTGTAGATTTGGGAGTTTAGGGGGTTTAGGATGCGGGGATGTTCTGTGACAGACTCCCGCGCTCGCATTCAGCTTGCTACGTTCATATGAGAAGGTCCGCAGCAAGCAAGCAACACAACCCATGGAATCCACGGACAGAGGCAGAGGCTTATGGTTTTAGGTTTAAGTACAGACTTGGTAGGAGGACATACAGGGTCTGTGCAGGCCAAAGAAGAGCTATAAGATCGCTTTAGATGCGCATTAAATCAAGGCCAGACCAGGGTACTTCATTAAATTAAACAAAGCCAGATCAGGGTACTTACAAATTCAGTATGTTCACTGCTTTCCCTGAACGTGCAAGTAAGAGTGCACCTTGGTTCGCAAAATTGTGCTGGCCACTGTAAACCCGGCTCACTTTTGTTTCTACGATTTGCTCAGTTGCCCAAGTTCCTACAGGAGCTAATGCGAAAGCTCCAAGGCACCACAAGGACAAGGTTCAAGAAGTAAAAGAAGAGACCCGCTGCAAGCAAGGCCATGAGGTCAGGAAGAAAGCTTGAGACCTTGGCGCTGTAGGTGCATTGCTATCAGCGACGGCAAATAATGATTGCAGGGGATGAGAGAAATCCATCTCTAAAGTCATGATCTCGGTATCTGCCAGGCAACAGTCTTGCAGACTTGCTTGTATATAGTACTCTAGGGCTCCAGTGACCTAAAGAGTAGGTTACTGGGGTACATATTATATGGTTAGTAACCTACAATTTAGGTAACTGGACCCCTAGGGGTATCTGTCTGCCATGTTCTGGGTTTATCAAGCTCCAGCCCTGATGATTCCTTGCATTGACAGCCTTGACATGGAGCTTGCCACGCTAATGCACCAATACCGCCCCCCCTAGCAGTACTTCTGGCAGAAACAAGAACCACAGTAATTACAAGACTAATAGTGAACATAACATTAAGTAACTCAAAACAAAACAATGAAGTTGACAGTATACAGACAGACATCCATCCATCCAACCATCCACTCATCCATCGCCATCCACCCACCCATCCAGACACAAGTACACACATACATGCATGCGTGCATACATGTACTTCAGTGAGTGCGTGCTGGTGTATATGTACATGTATACTTATGGTTAATTGGAGAATTTGTCCGTGGTCAGGGGGTATAGGGCGGTCTGGGTCTGAGGCATAAGGACCCGAAGCAACGTCTCACACTGGTTTCCAACAGCGGCCTAAGCCAATCATGGCATTTAGGAGTGCAATCAGGGGTCTATCAGTATAGTATAGTCTACTAGGATAAGGGGATTTAGGGGCTTTAGAGCTGAAGAGTCCGGACTCGTAGAGTTTGGCTTGATGGGGTTAAGGAACAGGAGTGTCGTCGCACGAAGCTCTTAACTGCAGAGCCAAGAGACAGCCATATCCACAAGTCGAGAAGGATCCTGATGTGAGGACATCGTACTATTCAAGCTCTATACAGGGGTCCCCTATAGTCTGAAACTTCCACGCTATCCAGGGGTTGATACTATCTACGGTTCAAACATCTCATTGCTAAGAGACTTCTTTCTGACAGTTTGTCCAGAAGTCTTTCACTGAGAGCACTCAAGACGTTCATCTCCTTGTAGTGCCTTGTACGCAGCTCTTTGCATCTTAAAGTCCGACAACAACATATAGGTATCTACATACATACAGATGCATGCAGATGCATGCATATAGACATACGTACGTACATACGTCGGCATGTGTTACGGGTGTGTGTGTGTGTGTGCGTGTGTGTGTGTGTGTGTGTGTGTGTGTGTGTGTGTGTGTGTGTGTGTGTGTGTGTGTGTGTGTGTGTGTGTGTGTGCGTGGGTGTGTGTGTGTGTGTGTGTGTGCAGCGTGTATGTATGGATGGATGGATGGATGCATGCATGCATGCATACATGCATGCGTGCGTGTATGTACCTATGCATGTACGTACGTATGCAAGTAGCTATCCGCGTATGTAGTTCGGTAGGTTGGTCGGTAGGTATGCAGGCGTGCATGCATGTACGAATGTATGTTCATGGTTTTGTTTGGCTGTCTTTCTGCAGGTAGGTAGGTAACTAGGTCAGGTAGGTAGGTCGGTCGGTAAGCTTCAGGCAGGTAGGTAGGCATATATACATCGATGTGTATATATGATATGTGTATATTTTCGCATAATCGTGACCATACGTGTCAATGCACACACGCACACACAAATTTATGCAGATGCACATGCCGAGATGCGTGTGTCAACGAATGAAGCTTTAGCACTTTCGGCTAGCAATTTGTCATGGCTAACGACCCTGGTCCCCTCTCCGCCGGAACACTAATGCCCAGCTAGATCCCAAATGCGTCTGAAATAACCTCGCAAAAACCATGTGTTAAAGGCCCAGCCAAACATCCCAAAGCCCAACCCCAAACCCTATTAGAGACTACGTAAATCTCAAAGCCTTATAGACCCCTTGTAGATCAGTTCTGAAACACCTGAAGCACCCTCATACAATTCCAATTATCCGGTGGAGCCCGTATATCTCACTCCCTCCCTACCCCCACCCGACCCCTCGTCACCCCGTCCCCCTCAAAAAAAACAACCCGGATCTCCTTCAGATCGAAGGAAGCCAACGCCTTGCGCAAAGCGCCCATCCCAGTGGGACAGGCAATCGGTTCATCCTGCGCACGCTTTGATGTGTAGTTTGCAAAGGTTTACAGGGTTTATAGGGGTTTCGGCGCTCACACTCGGACAATCCAGGCGAGGCATATGAGTTCGCGTCTGCAAAGTGAAACATCACTAAGAGGCTCCGTCACTACATGTCAGCAACAAGACAAGGGGTTTAGGGTTTGCTCTCTCTCTCTTTTGGGGTTTCGGGTTCAGCAAGTTTGACCACGTTTAACTACAAGATGCTATAAGGTTTATCAAAGGCTTACAGTCGTCTGGTTTTACAGCATGAATCGGGTCCATAGGAGGGCTCATACGGCTTAGGCTTATAGGCCTTCCGGGGTGGGGGGCTTTGGGCTGGTGAGGTTCAGGTCGCAGGGGCCGTATACTTGTGGGGTTGTAGGGTTTGCGGAAAGGTATCTATATGGACTTCAGCAGAAGACTCCGACAACATGCTTGGAAGCCCATAACCGCTGACCCCCAAGCCACTGGCACCAACGTTATTAGTCATTTTTGACATCGTGGTGACAGTGCCCGTAGCAATACCAATTGTGATAGCCGTAGCTTCATAGTGCGAGTATGTGTGACTATGATGGCAACTGGTTGAACAGGAACATACAGGCCAGGCATAGCACCTTGGCAGGTTTATGTGTCGAGGCACAAGCCTCAGAACCGCTGCCCAAGAACACGGCACGGCACAACTTGCCTACCGCATGTGTCCTCCGTGGTGACTGGCGCGTGCCCAGCAATGTCAGCTGTTCCCTGCAACAGCTCTGGGATCTGGGGTGCGGTTCAGGCTATTCTGAAGTGCAGCTCGAACACCCGACTCCCACAGCTCATGCTGCTGACGAAAGGCCGATGCAGCCACCAAGAGGCAGAATTGGATGTAAGCCACGTTGCGAAACATGGTTGCCACCTGCATTCAAACAGCTCCTGCATGGTGATCGCACAAATCATGCTATCTATGATCCCGGATCCCTTCAAAAGGGAGTGCAGTATCATTCGATGAATGCATCCGAGCCGCACCCAATGGTAATGAAGACCTTTCGTCACACAGTAGCACATCATGATTTTCTGCTACCTCTGGGCATGTGGCAACTTCACAACAATACTTGAAGTGCTAATCTGCACTTCGTCGTACTCTTTATACTGGTGTCAGCACCAACAATAGAAGAAAGTAGCAATTCTGGAAAGTGCCACCAGTAAGAGAGACAATCACCTGGGGAAGATCCGAGAATACTATACGACCATGGAAACCCCCCATAACATGTGAGGCATGATGGGCGAGCAGCGCTGTCTGCTGCGAAGCAGGGACAATCCCCAGTCGGCTGCAGTAACATGTTGTGGGGCAGCTGGCGGCCGAGTGGCAGTACAAGGGGCGTTCAGGTAGGCGGTAAAGCAAATGTGGGCCTGTGCTGGCTCACTTGAAAAACTGCCTTCCCATGGCACACAGATACATACATATGTGCACATGTCAACTGATAAGGAACACTCCGACTAGTACTTGTCATACTGTAAAGACTGCTGTCGGCACCAATTCCAGGAGTAGTATTGACTGGCGTTTGTGTGTTGCAGCTGGTCTGGTCAACGGAGATCATGCGAAATCAAACCGATTCCCCGAGAGTTCCTATAGTCAAATGCATGACTGTCTTCTAGCGACGAAGTGCTCAAGGCTCATACTGCTGTTACGGTTCAGTCTGCAGTTGCAAACTTGCAAAGGGCTCAAGGCTGAAAGAGAAACATTGGAGGCATCACCACCATCATCATCATCATCCGCGACATCATCGTCATCACCTTTGCCGTGCTTAGACACGACTATGAGAGCACGACGTGCTGTCACTTCAGAGATTCGCAGAACGAAAGCGTTTCTAAAAGGCAACCATCCGCTACCGTTGGATGGAAAAGTGTCGTACAAACTCACATGCATGGCTGCACCCCCCACCACCCCCACCTTGAATAGCTCGGATCCTCGACCACAGAGAGGGCAGAGGGAGCTACACTGCAGCTTGAACCACGGTGCCAAAAAGCAACATCCGGTCAACATGTGGACAGAGAGGCCAGATACTAGTACCTGTCGATGTGGCTGGTCTGGCTGGTTACAAGGGATGCTGAGGGAGAGCGTAGGACTGTAATTGTTAAGTAGGGTTCAGGAAGAAGTTTTAGACTGGAACAAGGAGGACTGTAAACTTTCCGCCATGCCAGGAAACATCTCGAAGCTTAAGTGAACCCCGAATAAGTTTTCTGACCGTCCATGCTTTCGACCAAGGCTAGTAATCAAGGCTTATTCCAACCATCTGGGCTTACTCCACGTAACCCCTGCCTGTAAAAAACCGAGGGAAGCAGATGTAGAAGACCATATGTGCTAACGCTCCCCTGTGATAGTCTTGCTTCGAAGCCGTTTATGGCTCAGGGCTCGAGCAGTTTCAGGTTCCATCAGGGAAGATGTTGAGGAGCTTCGTCACAGGCCAGCACCTCGACCCTTTTTTGGCGACTGTCTTTGAACCTACCCATAGGCTCCATTAGTTGTTCCTGTTGGGGCTCATATTAAGAATCCTATAAGGTAATCCCAAGGCGGAACTACTATGGAGCCTATGCATATTCTAATCCCTGAGGGCCCGGAAATGCGGACACAATTGCATGGCAACTAAGACAGGCCTGCCCTGGCAGAATGCGAACCAGGTAGGAGTCCTGCAATTGTAATTCTTCTGTTCCGGCATAGGGTTTTGGGTTTAGAGATTCTGGCTTGCAGGCAAGCCCCTGCTTTCATGGAATACTGAAAAGCAGCATGGGCTGCAGGGATGACACCCCTCCTCACAACGACGGACAAGGGAACCAGTCCTGTAAGACGATAGGAGCACTGAAAGCTGTGCTGACAGAGTCGCAGGAGATCCCGGAGATCGCGTGAGAGGATTCAGGGTTTCGTAGTTCAGAGGCATTGCGATCATCCAGATGCGAAGCTCCACAATCTGACCCTGTCTGAATGTCACATCTGCACATGCTACTGAGACAAATCTGTGTACACCAAGCTGGACAAGAAAGTCTAATGCAAAAGATACCGCAGCATTGGCCTCGTCGTGTTCCCAGCCTGCGGTTCGATCAGAACACGGCAAACAACATGTTGCAGCCAGGTGTATGCACCTATTGCAAAGGAGCAGATGTGGGACGAATGCTGCTACGGCGCACCAAACTGCATAGATCCCAAGCACATGACGCTATATTAAATCCCCAGCCAATGCGCGTATTACGGGGCTTCGACGGCTGTGATCCAGTGCGCAGTTTTGACCAGAGTCGCGGTCTTTGCCCGGCCCCCTCTGGCCCCGCCCGCCCGTGTTACATCCCATACAGCTGCACTTCCGAACTTGGTGAGCCGTTCTCCCGCAACGCTGCCGTGCATATTTTGGGGTGGAACTCGTTTTGGTATTGGCCTTGAAAACGCACCAAGTCATTGACACCGCACCTGTCGGCTCTTTGGGGCTCCTGGGTGTGCTCTCGTAATCCCGCCGTTCAAAGGGATGTCGGAATCTTCCATAGATAAGCCATCCTGCTCCCGTCACAGTGGAGCACAAGAGGCTTTCAAGACCATAGGGTTTAGGGTTTAGGGAAGGTCCAGAACACACCACCCAAGCTGTGGCAAAAGCACGATTGTTGAGCCGTGGCGGATTTGGCGGGAACACGATTTCGGGGTCAGAACGGGCAGAAACATTTCACCGACAGCACTGCGGTGGCAGCACGATTTCCGGAACCAGACCCATGATTAAGGCCGGAATGGCTTCTTCGGTATGCAGGGCTTGGACTGCTAGGTCCCTTCAATGTCTCGGGCTTGGCCTGAAAATAGGGGCCTCGATAATTCGAATTGTTGTTGGGGGCTCATTTAACTATAGTTTACTATAATTATAGTGAGGAACCTCCAGAATAATGTTGGTAGGCCCCTGTATTACTCCCTCTAAATACATCGAAACACGAACCAAGCTCTTGCCGGTCAGCACTGTGACGGCTGTTCAGCATACTTTGACCGGAAGCGTGCACACCCAAATACAGGTGTTTAGGGCTTTGGGGGTTTGGGTTTAGGGTTTAGGGGTATAGTACTATCATTGAAACACGTAGAGACGATAAGGCGACGAAAGGGAGGTAGACGATCGGTCGGGCGGCAGCCACTTTTTGCATCTTGGCCAAACTCAGTCGCCTCCACGACAGCGTGTGATCCATCCACCCTAAGCGCGCATCTTCCCACCGTCCATAGAATTTACGAGTTCATAAGCTCTGCAGATTCTTTGGACTATGAAAGCGAGCCGGTGTCTCTTTTGGTCGAGTTTGGTGAAATCAGGGCCGACTGTTTCGGCATGCCAGTATGCTCCGCAAGTAGGAATGGTTCACAGATCAGGGTTGGGGTGCTATGTGAGGATCTTGTTCGGAATTTCCTTATCTGGTTCTCATCATGTTGTGGTTGGGCCCTGTGTGTGTTTTCCCGGCATCCTTCCCCAAATCGCAGTGGTCTGTGGTCACAGAATCTGGCCGTTGCCACCGCACTCGCAGCGCAGTGAGGCAAATACCTGGAGGGGTGGAGGGCTTGCAAGCGTACAACCATATCTTCCCGTTGCTCCGGACATTGAGCCCCTGTACGACCACAGTCGTCCGGTGGAGGATCAGCACGCAGATGCTTCTTCCGGCTCTCAGTTTGAGAAGGTCGGAAGGAAGCTCTTGGTGCTAAGCGAGGGCTTTGAGGAGCCAGGCTTTCTGTCTGAACTTCAAGCTTTCTTGGCACAGAGCGGCTGCAAAAAAACTGCCCTTACATCGGATACATCTACATTTTAGATGCAACTGTTGTCAAGCACGACAGCTCAAAGCAGACAGACCAAGTGCCTCTGCAGAACTGAGGCACTTCAAGACAACACTCTACAGGGTATGACTATGACCATGACTAAACTCATCGAAACGTCCACAGCAGTTGCGGCTCAGGATGTGATATGTCCCTGCCGCAGCCTCAGCCCTAAGCAGTCCATGCACTTGTGGTAACCTGCAGGAAACCAGATATGTGTAAGACAGCTGCGACGTCGCATATCGCTAGTTTGCTATCTCACGAGTGTTCAGGTCGCTACTATACAGTACATGTTGATGCTCACAGCTGTTCTACTAGCGAGATACACACTCTTATTGAATCTGCTGTAGGTGCCACAGTCTTCACTGCTGTTGGAGCAGCTCTGGTCGTTAATTTTCTGGCTCCTCAAATATTGGAAAGCTAGCAGAGGTGCGTAGAGCCTACCGGCAGCATCTACTGCACAACATCGAGCATGATGTGCGGGATGCCGTCACTGTCTACTTCTCCGTGGTGAACCGAGTGAGACGACCGGTGAGTTGGCAGAATATGGCGGGGTTGTTCACGAGTAGGCTGCGAGCAGCATTGTCACGCTTACATGCCAGATGTTGGCAGTGCTGCTATCGGTAGCCATTGCTATTCATGTGATATAACTAGGTATCAGGACTCCCCTCAACATCGGGGTTTCCGACATCAAGCCCGCGGAACAGAAGCCTGCTTCCAGAACAAGCCGGCGCTGCTTTGAAGATGAGCATGAGCCTGCACAAGCCCTCAAGACCAGACTTAGAATTTGCCACCCTAGTAATGACTGCAAACTCCACGGCACGAACGAAGCCGCACAAGAGCCAAACTCTCTATGGGATGTTTGTGCAAGGCAAGCCCTAAACACTTTAGAACCCAAGAAGAGCCCCGCAAAGCCTTGGACCCAAACCTCCAGATGGGGTCATTTGCACGCGTATCCCTCCGGACTGCAGTGACTATGGGCAATACTGCGGCAATACCTGCGTATTCCTAGCCTCGCAACGACGGCCAATACTGCTACAATCGCTGATATGCGGCATGAGTGCAGGCTGGCTCACATGGGTGGCAACCTG